CATAAAAATTATGACAGCAATGCAATCTACTACATATACAACTGGGAAATAGTTAAGTATCCTTAGGTACTTCTTTCAGAAAAGCTGCTCTAAAACTCTGAACAACCTAAAACATTTAAAACTTATGTTTTAAACACACCTTAAAAAGATAGTAGGCAAGAGAGTGGCATGAGATAGAGAGTGGGACCAGTTGAGACCATTTATGGATTCTGGACAATTTTGAGTTGAGAGTCCTGGTTATGTGTTTATATACATTACTGTTGAGGGAAAATGGTGACTAGGGTCCTCTTTCCTTCCTCTTAGCTATAGTATATGGTATACACTAGGTATAGTATACTATATAGTATATAGTATAGTGCTCGAAGCGAGCACTCCTTCCTCCACGGTATAAATACTACTTTCAGAAAGATATGACTTCTTCTCAAGAGGGTTCAAAAAGCAAATACAGTGGGAAATATATGCATTATTAAAAACCTTTGATCAGTCTCTTCTCCCTGTTTTTCTGCTTATCAAGGGAATCTGAAGACCCAAGAGGAATCCCATCCCCTGAGACACTAAATCAGGTTAAGTTCCTATTCATCTAGCCACATTAGTTTCCATTCCCTGCAGTTCAATGAGTTGGGTCTTGAATCACCAAAGAATCATAGTAAATGCAAAGTACAGTCTCAATAATGATAGTGAAAAATTGGAAGAAAGAAAACACAGATGAGTTTTATACCGAAATGAAGCACATACTGTAAGGTGAGTCCGTAAAATGGTAGATTTCTCTTAGTGTCCTTGCTCTCCCTCTTGAACTTCCACTGAGAGATAGGATGCTTGGGCATTGTTAGACCTCCTTTCACCTTGGATACCCAGTCTCACTTTGCCACTGTCTCTGTCTATTCTCTCTGTTCTCTCTGTCTCCTCTTTTTTTTTTTTTTTTTTTTGCACATAGCTGGCTGGCCTACCAGGTCCTTTATGCAGTTGAATTTATAAGGGGACACCAAGGTAAGACAAGTAAAGTTCCAGTTTGAGGGCCTCCATCTCCCTCCCCTGAATCCTGATCCACTGGCTGCCAAAGCCGGAAGGGGTTTGGGATAGGGTGCTTGGTCACGGGAAAAGCTGCTATGGTTGGCCCAGCAGATGGGCAGAAGGGAAGGTTTCACTTCTTCACAATCTGAATGACATCCTCATCCTCCAACGTATGGTCTTTACCCACTTTTTGAGGATTATGTTTCACAGACAGACCCCAAACCAAAGCGTATTTAAATTCTTTGATAAGATTTTTATGAATCTTCATGCAGAAATCCTCCACTGTAGTCCTGGAATAAGGCAGCACCACTGGAGATGTGTAATCAGGCAACTGGCCTTTGGGTTTGGTATAAATCCTCACTAGTTTCAGATAGTCCCATATCTTTTCCAATAGGTCATCAAAATTCCAGCGGTGATGGGCAGAAATGGGTACACAGTGAGGCACCTTATAGATGATATCCAATTCCTCAATGGAGATCTGATCAATCTTATTCAACACATAGATACAAGGGATATAAATTCTGTTTCCTTCTACCACATCGATGAGGTTGTCTGCTGTGGCATCACTACGCAGTGTCACATCAGCATTGTGAATTTTGTATTCAGCCAGAATGCTCTTCACAGTCTCAGCATCCAGCTCACTCTGAGGGCAAGTGGCCGTGAGATTAATGCCTCCTTTATCCTTCTTCTTAAAGCCAATGTTGGGGGGTTTGCTGTTCAAACGAATGCCAAAGCCTTCCAGCTCATTTTCGATTATCTTTTTATGTCCCAAGGGTTTCAGGACATCCAGAACAATCAGGATCAAGTTACATGTTCGGGCCACTGCAATGACTTGACGGCCTCTACCTTTCCCATCCTTGGCACCCTCAATGATACCTGGAAGATCCAGGAGCTGGATCTTGGCACCTTTGTATCTGATGACACCAGGCACAGTGGTCAGAGTAGTGAACTCATAGGCTGCCACCTCAGAATATACCCCTGCCAGGTTACTAAGCAGTGTTGACTTCCCCACTGATGGAAAACCCACAAACCCAATTCAAGCATCACCTGTCTTGACCACATCAAAACCTTCTCCTGGCCCACCACCACCACCACCTTTTGGGGTAATGAGTTCTCTACGAAGCTTAGCAAGGTGAGCCTTAAGCAGCCCTAGGTGGTGTGCTGTGGCCTTCTTCTTTTGAGTCCGAGCCATCTCGGCTTGGATCTCCGCGATCTTCGCTAAGGTGCTGCTCATGATGGCGAGTCCCTGGGAGGTCGCTGGGGAGCGTAGTGGCCTCCGCACAGATGACCACCCCTCACACAAACGCCGGCGGACCTGCCCAGCTCTGTCTCCTCTCTTTGTCTGTCTCCTCTTTCTCCCTTTTCTCTCTCTCTCTCCACACACATACACTCAAAATTATTAATTAAAGGCCTTCAAATAGAGACTAAGTTGCTGCATCGTGGGCAAAGACCTGACAGCTGACAACTGACAGCTCTAATTGATAGTCCTACCTTAAATCTCAAGCTATTTGCAATTCACATGATGAAAGGTTCCTTTTTGATCTAATCTGAATATGAAGTTATCCTGGGTATGGGATACTCCTGGTCAAGTAGTAATGTCAGATACATTTATTCAAGTTTTTGAATTCTGATATCAATATAGGTGATTATAGTTTTGTCTCTGTTATATATTCACTGATTTGAAAAATATGCTTCCAAAATCTTTTTGGGTGTATAGTTGACACAATGCTACACTAGGTTTAGGTGCACAACATAGTGACTCAATTTCTCTGTACTTTATGCCCTGCTCACCACAAGCATAGCTACCATGGGTCACCATACAATGCTGTTGCAATACAAACTGTACTTCCTATGCTGTGCTTTTCTTTTTTTTAAAGATTTTATTTGCTTATTTATTTTACAGAGAGAGAGAGAGGGAGGGAGGCAGACTCTTACTGAGCAGGGAGCTAGACTCAGGGCTTGATCCCAGGACCTTGGGATCTTGACCTGAACCAAAGGCAGATGCACAATTTCCTGAGCCACCCAGGTGCCCCTCTCTGTCGTGCTTTTATTCTAATGACTTATTCATTCCATACCTGGAAGCCTGAACCTCCCACTCCCTTTACCTATGAAAATTATAGCTTGGTGTAGCTTGAGCCACATTGTCTAGACACGGGATACATTTTGTCTAAGCTTTGCTGGGAACAGAGATCCTCATGTTCTCTCATACTGTGGAGCCAGTTACATAGTCTTCCCTCAAACAATAATAACAATAACAATAATAATAACAATCCTTAACTCAAGACTAATTTGGGTTAAATAAAAAATATCAATTCTGCCTCACTTTTTATTATACAGAGTCCCAACATTTCTTGACATCAATCTGGCATACATCCTTTCCTCTGGAGTTGGTTCTGTTCTTCCTGTCTCAGGTAGTAGGTCATAAATAAAAGCCATACATTTGATGGGGAGGTCTTCTTTTAGAAGGGCATTGCCTGAATTTATGAATATGAGGAGTGGACGGAGGATGGAGGGATATTATCTCAAGATATGGCAAATTAGAAAATATCCAGATATTTAGGATGGAAGGATATAAGTAGAAAATGCCAGTGGATTGTGTTCGGGAGAACACATGAATTTTACGTTCTTAGAACCTAGGAAGGATAAGCATGGAGAAGCATGGAGCCAGCAGTGTACAAGTCTTGGAATTTTCTGGATCATACGGAAGATTACAGGGACCATGTCATGGAGTTGAGTTTCTCAACTTCCTCTAAAGGAGGTCCCTTTATAAGTAGCTGGTGATTATAGTGAGACACAAGTCCCAATACCAGTGATGAAGGGCTCCTCAAAGATCTAGCTTTGAAACTGAGAAATCTCTACAGCACAAAGAGAATTTATTCTCCTCTCATTCTTCCCTCTCTGTAGATAGATTGGTATATAGGAGACTAGATAGGTAAGTATATAAAGAGGGAATTTTATATCACTAGGCAACAATTTTGTATAATTCATTATAATTTCTCAAGCAGTTCTCAAGTGCCAGACCCTTTATTAAGGACCCATCTCTTGCCTTATTTAATACTTATAGTTTTTTAACCTGTATTACTGCTGCCAAGTTATGTATGATGACCACCCAAAATTATTCAGGTGTACTGTAAATTTAAAGTGTGCAGTGGTATCACAATTAAATTCTTGATTCTTTAAGTTACCATATGAATTCTGGAGAGACAACAGAATTCCAAAAGGTCCCCCCCCCCCGCCCCACTACCCTGTAGTGTACACTCTGTTAAATCTTCTCCTCTTGAATTCAGGTGAGACCTGAGAATATGATGGGAAAACACTCGTGAGGCATTCTTTTACATCACACTTTGTACAGCAAACTGAAGAGAGGTTCTCCTACTGGCTTTGAAGCAGTACGCTGCTGTGTTATCAGATGGTCAAGTGGTTAGGACTTGAGGGTGGGTTCTAAAGCTGAGAATGATGATCCCTAACAGTCAGCAAGACAGACAGACACCTCAGTCCTAAACTGCAAGGAACTGAATTCTGCCAATGATCTCCACAGGCTTGGAAGCAGACCCCAAGTCTCCCATGAGATTCCAGACTCAGCTGACATCTGGCTTCAGTCTTGAGCAGAACACCGAGCTCACCTGACTCAAATACTGTAAGAATGGAAATTTGCATTGTTTTATGTTGCTACATTTGGGGTCACTTATAATGCATAACAGGAGATTAATACAAAGGATACCTAGGATTTTCTACCACATAGATATGAGTGTTCCTCAGTTTGTGTGTGCATGCCTTTGTGTGTGTGTGCAAGACAGAGACAGTACATGCGGGAGGATGATGATGATAATTCTATCATCTTTACCAAAAACTTTTGTAAGAAGCAAAGTTGAGTCTAGAATTATCTACCAAGGATGATGCACTTGCCACATGAAAATGGATTTCAAGTTTTTAATTAATGCTGGGTGTCCTCTCTGTTCCCATAGGGAGAGACACCAAGGCCGTGGAAAATGACAAACAGGAGCTTTGTAACTACATTCATCCTCATGGGCCTTCCCCACGCACCAGCCCTGGACATCCCCCTTTTCACAATCTTCTTAGTGATTTATGTACTCACCGTGATGGGGAACCTCCTCATCCTGCTGGTGATCAGGCTGGATTCTCACCTCCACACCCCCATGTACTACTTCCTGACCAACCTGTCCTTCATTGACATGTGGTTCTCCACAGTCACTGTGCCCAAAATGCTGATGACCTTGGGGTCTCCAGGAGGCAGGATGATCTCCTTTCACAGCTGCATGGCCCAGCTCTACTGCTTCCACTTCCTGGGCAGCACCGAGTGTTTCCTCTACACAGTCATGTCCTATGACCGCTACCTGGCCATCAGTCACCCACTCAGGTACACCAGCATGATGAGGGGGAGAACATGTGCCCTCCTGGCCACCGGCACGTGGCTCAGTGGTTCTCTGCACTCTGCTGTCCAGACCATGCTGACATTCCGTTTGCCCTACTGTGGGCCCAGCCAGATCCAGCATTACTTCTGTGATGCCCCTCCCATCCTCAGGCTGGCCTGTGCAGACACCTCTGTGAACGAGATGGTGATCTTTGTCAACATTGGGGTGGTGGCCTCGGGCTGCTTCCTCCTCATAGTGTTGTCCTATGTGTCCATCGTCTGTTCCATCCTGAAGATCCGCACCTCAGAGGGGAGGCACAGAGCCTTTCAGACCTGCGCCTCCCACTGCATTGTGGTCCTTTGTTTCTTTGGCCCTGGTCTTTTCATTTACCTGAGGCCAGGCTCCAGGGATGCTGTGGATGGGGTCGTGGCAGTCTTCTACACGGTGCTGACACCCCTTCTAAACCCTGTGGTGTACACCCTAAGGAACAAGGAAGTGAAGAAAGCTCTGCTCAACGTGGGCAGTAAGTCAGTGTTGGCTCAATGTAAATAAAGAAGAAAGACCAGATGTGGCTAGCTTCTCTTTTATTTATTTAGAATTAAATTGAACCACCAACCTGAACATTATACTTACAAGGAACATTTAATTATCCAGTCTTAATTTTTTAATTAAAATTTAATACATTTTTAATTTTCCCTCTTAACTGCTTGCCAGAACCCCAGTATAAGCAGCCATTTATGGTGATAATCTAAGAAAGGATGATGACTTATTTCTTCCCTTTTATGTTCTACCAAGTAAGTCATCAGAAAAGTGGTTACTCCTATACCCTAATGAGTATTTTCCAGAATTACTCTTCAGTACAATATATCTATATTTTATTTTGTCAATTAATTAAACTATCTAGGGGATCCCTGGGTGGCACAGCGGTTTGGTGCCTGCCTTTGTCCCAGGGAGCGATCCTGGAGACCCAGGATCGAATCCCACGTCAGGCTCCCGGTGCATGGAGCCTGCTTCTCCCTCTGCCTGTGTCTCTGCCTCTCTCTCTCTCTCTGTGTGACTATCATAAATAAATAAAAATTAAAAAAATAAATTAAACTATCTAAAACTCTCTTTCAATTTTTAGATCGTTGTATTGAAAAACATCACATGTAATAATTGCAATTCATTTTATAATATAGTACCTACATGATGAAATTTTACATTATACAATATCACACACCAAAAATACTTGATTGTCAAGAATGGCTTTATTCAAATTTATGAAATAATTACAAAGTAGAACTCTTTAATTTTTTCACTTTGACTTCCAAGATTTTTTATTTTTTATTTTTTTCCAAGATTTTTTAAAGTAAATATTTGTCTACCTTTGTACTTTATGCAGTATTTGTACTGAATTGGTCACAGAAATGACTGTTTAGATTGTTGTTAAATATTTACAGAGCTCCTTTTATCTTAAATGCAAAGTTCCTAATTTCTGCAATCTCAAAATTAGTTTTGTGAGTAAATAAGGGATGAATAGAAAATATATGAAAGATAAGAAAATAATCTTAGACACAAAAATATGCTACCAATAAATATTGAAAGTCTCTACCAATTTTAGAAGCAGATTCTAAGTGTTACTTACATGGACTTATTGTTGTCTGTGGGTCACGTTTGTTTGACTTAAAATGTAAAATGGATTGGATCCCATAATTGGGAGGTAAGGTTTTGGCCATGAACCTCAAAAGAAGTCATTCAAATATATACCTATACTGTTAGTGCTTAAAGTAATTTTTCAGAAAACAAATGGTTTGAGTCTCACCTGTATCCTGTTAATGCAATAAATGCCAATGCCACCTAGCATACCAAGAAAGAAGAGAAACCTGGCAGATTCCTGTTAGAACTGGAGATTACTTGTCAGACTCCTCAGACTTACAGCATCTGCCTTCCAGGGACCCATTAGCAAGACAACCCATCTGTGCTAGGATGTATATCTTGCTCTAAGTAAGTTATGAAACTAAGCTAGGGAGAAAATTGTACCATCTATAAAGGCATGATCAATATAAACCATGATACCATGATCCATTTAAGAGGTCAGTTACGGTGTTCATTTCAATAAACCAGACTGATATGGCCTTATCTATAACCTTACTCAATTTATAAAGGAGAAAATTGAAGACAAGTTAGATCAAAATTACTGAGCCATCGGGGTCGCTTGGATTCTTTCAAGTTTCTTGTAACATCCTACTATTTTACTTACTCATACTAGCACAAAATGTTATGGGACATTTACTGAATGTTAAGTCATGCAATAAGCAATAGATATACCAAAAGAATAGACAGATTCTGTATTCACGAAGGTTGTTATCTAGAGAGGGAGAAAAACAAGTATAGTATCATCCAGGGTACGTTGTGGTAAGTATAGTGCCTAAGGAGAGACTTATTAATAGTTTTAAAGTGGAAATATGGTGAACGATTAAAAATTCTGTAATAATATATGTTAAACAAAACCATGTTGAAAGTAATTAAATGTTTAATGATGATATGTAAGATAAATATCAGTGTCATTTTTTAGTTGAAATTGTTATTAAAATAATTGCAGAATCATATAAAGTTTAACCAATAAAGTGAAGACATCCACTGCATAAATACATGGAGTTTCCCCCAATGGCAACAATTTGTAAAACTATAGTAGGATATTGGTATTGATTTAATACACAATTTGTATTCAAATTTGCCCAATTTTATTTGTACATGTGTTGTATGTGTGCGTAGGTGTGTATTAATACCTGTGCGGTTTTGGGTATCCATCACCACAGTAAAGATTCTGAACAGTTGCAAGACTGTAAGGATGTCTTCTGTGAGGATTTTTAGCTAACATAAATATTACCTCTAAACAAAGCTATCAATTATTAGTCGTTTAATTGTTGAAGGGCTAGATAAACAAATCAAAAGTTGTTTTACCACCTTCTAACATTTTTTGTTCTCTTTTTCCTCTTTCCTGCCTAAATCCACCCACTTATCCATTCAATATACAAATATGTATTAAATCCTAGACACCATAGGCATAAAGATTACAGAGTCACAGACATCCCTTCAAGGAGCTTATAGCCCCAATATAAAAGATGCATAGGGGCATAAGAAGAGGAGTCAGAAAAATTAGACAATAAGAAAAGGACTTTCATCCTGCACATTCTGGAAAGTTATTAAAATACACAAATGTGACAACAATATGATGGCATTTCCATTTAGAGACATAATAGCAACAAGGAAGATAGTTTAGAGGAAAGCAAACTTTAGGGGAGAAACATCGAGAGAGCCTTTTCAGCTGCATCTCAGAAAAGAAGAAACACACACTCATGATGATCCAGGTGAGGCAGTAGCAGCAGACATTGAGAGTGGTGCAGCAGGTGGCACCAAGTGTGTGAGGAGGTCGAGTTGGTGGGGAAGTTAGTATGCTCTGACAGCTGTGACATAACTAGAGAGTAGAGAAAGTAACAAAGGTGAGTTCTGGGGGTAGAATGAAAGTCTCATTTTGGAACTGTTTGGGCTAAGTACCTGAACAGGCCTCAGGTGAAATTATCTGGTTGACAGTGTAACTTAGGAGACAAGACAGGTAAAGCCCATGAGGTTAAGTAAGCAAGAGGACTGGTCACTACATTCTCTGGGTTGTTCTGGCCTTAAACATCTGTTTCCTCCTCCCATTCAATGAGTGGCATAAGGAGGGTCCATATAAGGAAAGGGTAACCTCCAGCTTTCTTACTTTTCCAAGTAAGCCCAAGAAGCACAGTTTTTGGGACATTTGCTCAAATCTGTTGTTGAAACTTACAGAACTGTTTGTCACAATAACACCCAAAGACTTTTATAGAGACTGTAAATTTAAAGAGCCCCAGAGACAGTGCTTCTAAGAGGAGCTACTTCTTGATAGCATGGCCCTGGGAGATACCAAGGGATTGAAGGTCCCAAACTGCTGTTCTTCCAGTTTTCTAATGCTATTGAACTATTCTGCTATAGAGATTACATGTAAAATAGCATCATAAGCATATCTAAAGCAGGTGAGAAGGATTGAAGTACAAAGAAGAAATAAATAGGACTGGAAAGGGAAATTATAGGTAAACATAAAACACTGTTCACTTTTTAGCAATGTTGACCATTTAAAGCACCAATAATAATATCCTTTGAGGTTTATAACATACATAGAAATAAAATATAGGACAAAATATAAAAATATATTAGCTGTTACATGGAGTTAAATGATTGTAAGAGTCTTGGATTTTTAGGATTTGGTAAAAGTACTAATGTAAGTAAGTTATAATACTAAAAATTATATTGCATATCATAAAAAGATAATGGATTAATGAGATAAGTTAAATAACAAAAAAATAAAATGATGGACTCTTGTTTTATACATTAAATACTTTGATTAATACAAGGCAGACAGAAGAAGCACAGGAATAAAGAAAAAAGTTTAAGGTATGAATTGAAAACAAATAGAAAAATGTTCAATTTTGTGGTGATGGTGATACAGCTTTGTGAATATACAGCACTTAAAATCACTGACTTGTACATTAGGAAATAGTTAAAATGCTCAATTTTATGTTATGTGAATATTATTTCAATAAAAAAAGAGAAGAAAAAAATAAATCCAACTATATCAGCAAATCAGATATATTAACCATCTCAAATAAGATTAAAATGTTACAAACAGACATAAAAATTCTTAATTATCTAATTTATAAGGAGCTTCATTAAATACAAAGAATGGAAACTTACAAATGGAAACAGAGTGGAAAATATATGCCACAAAAACACCAGGAAAAAACCCAAGTCTATATTCATATAAAAAAAAGTGAACTTTAAGGTAGGATGTAAGAAGTGTAAAGATATTTAAATTTTTTTCTATTGAAGTCTAGTTGATTTACAATATTATATTAGTCATGGTGATTCGACAATGATCTACATGAGGAAATGTAGGATAAGTGTAGTCACCATCTGTCATCACAGAAAATTATGTATTTTCTGTACTTCTAATTCCTGTGACTTATTATTTGATAACTGGAAAATTTTACCTTTATTTCTTGCACCTAATTTGGCACTGTCCTTGGTTCTCTATTTGTTAAGCCTGTTTCTGTTTTATTGTTTGCTTATTTGTTTTGTTGTTTAGATTCCACGTGTAAGTGAAATCATATGGTATTTTTCTTTCTGTGACTTATGTCACTTAACTATACTTGTATCACTTTCGAGGTCCAACCATGTTGTCACGAATGCAAGATTACATTTGTTTTTGTCCGTGAGTATTAAGCTTATTTTATAAAGATAACAGAATCAATTTGCGGTGGTAGGATGATTCAGTCAGTTAAGTATCCACTCAGGATTTCTAATCAGGTCACAATTTCAGGGCATGAGGTCTAGCTCTGCATAGGGCCCTGCACTGAGGTGAAGCCTACTTTGGATTGGCCCTTTCTCCCACTGCCCCTTCCCCAGCGTACTCCCTTTCTCTCTCTCTCTCTCTCTCTCTCTAAAAAAAAAAAAAGAATCAGTTTAACAGGAAGATATTAAAATCCCAGATTTTT